GAGGTTTGTTTGGACTCATGGCATTCAGAGGTTTCAGTTATGTGTTGGGCTGGCTCCGAGAAGGGATGGCGTGGCAGAAGGGTCTGCCGTAGGAGAAGCCTGCTCACTTCACGGTGGTCAGGAAGCAGGAAGAGAAAGGAGGAACTGGGGAGGGAGAGCCACCCTTCCAGCTCACACCTCCACGGACCCGCCCTTAACCACGCCCCGCCTCCTGATAGCAAGTAAGCGGGAATGCACCTATAATGCAGCTACCGCCCACCTTGTGTGCATGAGGCTTTGGAGGAACATCCCAGCGGCAAGCTGCAACAGCAGGCAGCAGCACAGTGCACTTCTCCCTGCCGGGCTGCAGGGCAGAGGAGAGACGCCTGTATGCTGGCAGGGGTGTCACCGCCATCCCCTTATGTGGCAGAGGCTGGGCAGGGTGCAGTGCAGGTCCCACCAGAGCACAGATGTGGTTTTGGGGCCACCATGCCCACGTGGCTCTTAGGCGGCAGGCCCCGTGCCAGGGGCTGTCCTCTCCCAGCAGCTAACCCCTCAGCTCACAGCCAGGCACCCAGGGCATCCGTCTGTACTGCCCACATCTGGTCTTCCAGGAAGTCCTGCCAGGTCGCTCTCTCTCCTCCGTCCCACTCCCGTATTACAACCTGAGGCCGCTGTCCTGTCTTGCTGAGACCACTGGCGCAGTAGTTTAGTGTAGTATCTCGCCTTGCTGTACTGAACACCTCCCCAAGCCTCTGCTTCTGAAGGACAAGGTCCGTGCAGATCACTGCTCCATCTGAGTGCGCAACACTCCTGGAACCACACTCTCCTGCACCAAAGCCGATGCTGCCTCTGGGTGTAACTCATCCCACAAAGCCTGCTGTGACGGGAAGGAGCCTGTCTGATGAGCTGGCGGGGGACTGGGCCATCTTCTCTACGGACACTGGGTGGTTAGACGGGTCTTCACACTAAAATGGAGCTTGTATCCGGACAACTAAGCATTCATTCATCTCTAACTCTGCTGCTTAGCGTAATTTAAACAACTTATTACACACCTAAGTATCTTGCTGGATACCTTTTAAATACTGTTTTCTATTTATCATTTAGAAAGGGACCTCACTATGTTTTCCAGGCTGTCTTCAAACTCTTGAGCTCAACCAATCCTGCCTCAACCTCCTAAGTAGTTGGGATTACAAATGTACATCATGCTCAGCTTTAAAACGTTTTCCTAAGAGTCTGTTGGGTACTTACTGTTGTCGCCATTTGGCAGAGGAAAAAGAAATGGAGGCTTAAAGAGATAGCTAACAGCACAGCATCTATTACTGTAAGGAAGGCTGGGGTTTGAAATGAAACTTTGGATACTTCCAGAGAGACAGCAGAGTGGTGAGCAGCAAAGAGCGTCTCCAAGATTTGGTGTCCAGACACTGGAATATAGCAACACGAGGGAGAGAAGGAGAAGGGAAGTGGGTTCCTGGGACCCAAGAAGGATCTGAAGCAAGAATTGAAGCCCACAGGGAGAGCAGAGACAGACCTCAGCAAAGAAGGAGGCGGCAGGCAGCGCTTTCTCCGAGCCCAGACTCTGCTTGAGAGGGGCGGCTCCAACCTGCAAACACAAGGTGACTCCTGGCAACACCAGAGGCCTCCGTGGAGAAATGCACCACGGATGGAGAAGTAGACGCAGCGGACCGCAGTGGCTCGTGAGTGATCCAGACTCAGACATCCCCCAGGAGAGGCTATTGGCCGGCAGCCATCCTGGACAGAGGCCAACTGAGCTCAGAACTCACAACAGCTGCAGCCTGGCTCCACCTAGTGGCTCCCAGGGTCAGGTCAGGGAGCCCAGTTCAAGCCACCGGAGACACACAGACTGCTGCAGGCTGAGCAAACCTGTCTCCAACCTCACAGCCAGAAAGCCTGAACTTCAGTGGGACTGAAGGTGCAGGCTCGTTGGAATTATCCACTACCCCACCATAAAGCTTGCTGGGATTAATCAACTCGGATCTAGACCATGTCTGCCCACTTTGTCTACCAGTGACAGCACAGACATACCTTAAAAGGGGGCATTTTTCTTGTTTTTTGGTTTTTCATTTTCATATGCGTGTGAACAGTTTCTAGGTTTTTTTTTTTTTTTTTTTTTTTTGCTGTTATTTTTATCTCTTCCTTCTCTCTCCCTTTCTCCCTCCTGTCTTATTCATGTTTGTCAAAGTTTGCATGATTTTTGTCCTCCGGCCTTGCGTCTAATCTTTTCCATTTCATTTTTTCCCCTCTCAACCCCTTCTAAACTGGAAATGAAACTTTGCCAAACTCAGTCCTGTGCTTTTCACGGAGGCTCATGGCCTCCATCCGCTTTAGCTGGGCCCCCATTTGGCAGGCTGGCTTCTGAATGCTGCTCTTAGAGGCTGGTTTTTGGCTTCCCATCCTCACCCCACATCCACCAGAAAAAACAAAAACAACCCCCCCCCCCCGCCGCCGCCGCAAAAAGAAGAAAACCCTAACCCCTGTACTCAGGATGTGACCTTGTTTAGAGACAGGGTCACTGCAGCAGACGTCGTTGCAGTGAGGCCATGCAAAGGAGGGTGGGCCGAAAGCCCAAAATGATAGTGACGCTGGAGGAGACAGGCGCAGGGAGCAGCTCGTGTGAGGGCGGAGACTGGAGGGCCAGGAGCCAGGGGCCAAGGCCTGTGGCCACTAGCAGAAGCTAAGACTGGCAGGGAGGGGTTCTCCCTCCAAGCATCAGCAGGAGCCTGGCCAGCCCAGCCAACGCCTTGGTTTTGGCTTGTGGCCTGCAGAGCTGTGCGGTAAGTCACCCAGTTTGTGGCAGTTTATTATGAAGCCTCGGGAAATCAAGAGTGGCTAATTTTTTTCTCTTTCGGGAAATGCCTTTAGTCACAGGTCGTAAGTATTGCAGACATCAATTTGCCTTCCCACCGTCAAGGCCAGCTCCTGGCTCCTCCAGCACGAGCCAGCCCAGCCCTCTGCGCCCCTCATTTACCCTGCCTTGTTCTGCATGGTGAACGCACCAAGGTCTCTGCCAAAAGCAGCGGAGGCCTCGCACCAAGCCCCGAATCAGAGGAACCGGGAAAGGCCCGAGGGCAGTCCCACTGGGTTCCTTGCAATGGCTGGTGAGCCACCTACCACACGCCAGCGGGAGGTGGGGCTAGGTGCTGAATGACCTAGCCATGACCACCTGTTCTACAAAGAAGTTTCATAAACATGAGTCAGCTCTCACTTGTGTCCAAAGGACTGGCCCAGTCCACTTGCACGGGCTGAGGTCAAGCCCCACTTCACAGAGTGCAAGAAGGGCTACAGGAGCCCTTTGGCTTTCAGAAGTTAATGCTGCCGTGCTCTAGTTCCATGGTGCCCAGTGGCTAGAACTTAAGGCAGCTGGAAGAGTCAAGTAACAGTGGGTCTCTTTCCCCATAGAGGTATTCACTCGTCTATTCGCTCATTCACTCCCCATTTGCGGGCCCTAGACCCTGAGCTGTACCGTGCGCACAGGAGGAAGAGGCTACCTGTGGGTTTAAACAGATCATGGGCTCCTGGTCGCCTCGGTCCTCATCTCGCCCCCTAGTTTCTAGCAGGGCACAGTGCACAGCAACCAGAACCTCACCCGACTTGGGGCAGGAGTTCTGGTGCCCCTTGCAGAGCCAGTGAAACGTAGGGAACATCGGCCTTGCCTCCAGGCAGCCACTTCCCTGTTCTTCCCAGCGGGACTTTTTCCCTCTCTGCATGCGTTCGGTACTCTGTGGACGCCATGTGCCGCAGTCAGTTCCTGGTCTCTCGATGTCTCAGTGGCACCGGACACAGCTGATCAGCTCTCACTGCAGTGACAATTTTTCTCTTGGCTTTTAAAACATCACACTTCTGGTGTCCCTTCTCCCTCAGGGGCTGCTCCTCCATAGTCTCCTCTGCCAGGCCTCTCCCGCATCCCCGGCTCAGCCCCCACACCTGCGCACTGACATCACTCCTGAGCTGCTCATGGGCTTGACCAGGGTATGAGAAGGCGCCTACCTGTAAGGTGTTGGTTTTCAGGCGCTGAATTTGTGGGTCATTTGCTGCACAGCAGCAGATAATGAATTATCGCCCGAATGGTGGCTTATGCACGTTTGAAGTTTAAGGAAAGGTAGTACTAAAGACACAGTGAGCCTGAGGTCACCTAAGCAGTGGTCTCAGCGCACGGGTGTGCGGGCTGTGTCCCTTTCAATGCAAGCAAGCCCAAACTCCTAGGGCTTGAGGCTTCCGGCCCTTGTGTCCCCGTCCAACTTTCAGAAACCTTCATGACTCAACAGTGCCCTGGAGATCCAGCCCCCACTCCTTGCCATGGCTCACCTGGAACTTCTTGACATTGCCTCGTTACCTTCCCAGTTTTGTTTCTCGCTCCTTCCCACACCGGATAATACACTACAGCCAACGCTGCGAGCACTGTTCCCCAAATACATACTTTCTCCTTTCTGCCTCTCCTGCTTCCTCCGGCCCAAAGTGTCAGTTACTGTCTGCACCCACACAGCCCCGCCCTCCCGGCCCTTCCCAGGCGCTCTCAGCGTTCTCCGGCCCCAGTGGGCACACACTTTTCAGTGTCTGCCGTGCCACGCCTACTGACGTCTCTCTGACCACCGAAAGCCCTGGCTGAGCTCAGGTGGAAGCGGTACAGACGTCCCTGACTGGCAGGAGCAGAGCACCATGGCAGGAGGCGCGGCGAGCACACCGGGTGGGGGTTCCCGTGGCTCCTGCCTCACTCACTTCCGCACTCCTGGGCTCCTACTCGTCTTCTGGTCTCAATCCAGGAATCACATCCTCTGGGATGATTTTCCTGACCCCAGAGCCTGAGTGAAAAGTTCTTTCTCCTAGCACCTTAACTCTCTCCGCGTGAGACTCTCGCTCCTCGTCCGACCCCGCCGTCACTGAGCGCACAAGCGCCGCGCGGCGTGCACGCTGGCCTCTGCTGCGCACGGCGCAGCCACCGACGCTCCCCTTCCGTGGCGAGGTTGGTTCTGTCTCCTCTGACAGGAAGGTCACACAACAGACACAAGTAGGTTACTTTTATTTATTTTTTTAGTAGGTACTTTCAAATGCCTGTGAAATAAACATGTAAAAATAAAACGGGGTCACCGCCTTGAAAGGCATAAAGTGTGTTCTCGAGACTACTGCTTGCTTACTAGGCTGCAAATCTTCAAGAAGACCAGGAACAACATAAAACTAAGCGGGGTAAGACTGAAATGCCCGCAGAGGGAAGAAAATAAACTCAGCCACAGAAACAGCACTGTCCTCTTTCTCGGACTCACGATGCCTTTTGAAATCCCAACCTCTCCATTCCAGGTTCTGTCCTAACACTCCAAGAGCAGCCAAGCTCTGCCCCTGAAGGACCGTCTCCTGGGTCCTCAGGCCTGAACCTGCGTGCATCTCAGAGAAGGGCGCGGGAAAGGCTGGGGCCCCGTCACCCAGGGCCGCCCTCCTGCTCACATCCGGAAGTGGGTACACACACACCCTATATATGTACAGATTTTTGTTTTACAAAAATAATATAAGAGTTTGCACAGCTCTACCAATTCTTTAAAATTACACAGGAAGAATTTATACTTCATTATAATGATTTTCCACTTTAGCATAAAGGTGGGAATTTTAAACCTAAAAATAATTTAAGATTACCAAACAGAGGCTGCACAGCAATAGACTTGGTGCGTCTCAGTCTTCACATACATGGTGCTGTTATTCTTATCCTGGGTGCTGTACACCCCCACGGATTATTTTCATCCTAACTACAAAACTCAAGAGAGTGCGTTACAGTAATCTTCTATTTATTACATGAGCATGTATGCCGATTATACTAACGGCATGGTAGTCTCTATGTCACAAGCCTGTATTTTTAGCATGTGTTCACTTCTCCTTCATTACACACAGGACCCAGCAGCCGCCACCGAGAAGGAAAGCACACCGCACAGCAAAGCAGGGAGAACACTGCGCAGGTTGGTAACTTACCAGGCAACCAGAAGGAGCACAGACAGGAGACAACAAATCTTACACGATGTACATAAAATTATTCTGAAGTGTCATTTAATTTGTAGTTTCATATTTAGGCTACAGTTAGATGGAAAAACAAACTATATAAAATTCTACGCTTTCTCCCAGAATAGTGCAAATGTTCATCAAAAGTTAACTAGTTTAATAAAGATGACCACCAAGTGACTGAATAAACCGAAAGTCATGTAGTAATTAAAAAACACAGACTCTGGGACTGTAAGCTACCACCAAAATGTCCAGAAATCGGAGTTGACAGGTACTCTATGCTGCATACGTGATACTAGTAAGTACTGCCACTAAGTGTGCGCACAGATTACGAACGCAGGCCACAGCCCCAAGGACAGTCGCGGGGGGAATGAGATGAACGCTGCCTCACTGCAGTGAGGACACAGGGCTCCTGATGAGTACACAAAGCCTGTCTCTCCGGGGCAGAATCTTTCACTGACGCCAGCCCAGTGTCCCCGACCCCACCAAGGTACCCTAGAGCCTGATCATGGTTCCTGAAAGTCCTCCGGGTGCTGCGGTGACTCCTGAGCATTCTGCGGACAAACCCCTTCCTGCCCCTCACAGGGTCTCCCTGGCAAAAAGGAGGCAGTGCTGTCTCCGAAGCCACCGCCGAGATATTGCCAGGAGACTTAGAAGAAGGATGTGTCTGACGAAAAGGCACCTGCGAGTCTGAAGTCCTCCTTGGTGAGGACGCTATACATCCTCTGAGGCAGGGCTTTGGAGTAGGGTGCAGGGCGCGGCACGGTGGTGCGCAGGATGAGCTCCCGGCCAGCGGGCGGTGGGAAGTCCGACACCAAGTTCTGTCTTCTCTCCTCGGGGCAGCCTGTCCTCTTCAGTTCCTCCTCTGGGGGAGCCATGGCTGCAGCCTTGAACAGAATCAAATATGATGTTCAAAAGCAAGCCGAATGCTAAACTCAGTTACTTTATAGGACAGTGAATAAACATGATAAACACATAAAAATGTCCTACATTACTCAGTAATGCAGCCAGCTATGTGTCATGATTACTCAAGGAAAAGAAAAAAATGCCAGAAGCTTGAAACACTGCATAAGCTACTAGACTGGTAACAGGCAGAGAAGGGAGAATGACCACCAGGCAGCCGGCTTTGAAAAGTGAGGGCCACGTCGGACAGCCGGTGAGAAGGGATCATGTTGCTATTCAGCTTTCTATGTTACTTAAAGCAATGACCCACGTCCAAGGCCGATGTCCTCAATCCAGTAAAGAGCTGTCTCTCCAGAGTCTGGAAAGATGATTTTTATCTCAACTCTTTCAATCAACTCTTTTTAAGGTTTTTAACTTGGCAAATTAAAACTGGTGACACTGGTTTGGTCTGCTGGGCAGCTAATGTGATGGATGTGACAGGTCCATACAGCAATGACCACAAGAGAAGTTCTCACAATTAAAGACACCAACTTTTCATTGAAATTGTACAAAATACATACTCAATTACTGCTTCCATTTTAACTCTGATTACTTCTGTCACAATACCATTGCTTTGGAAAAAGAATAATTGTTTTGGCAATGGAAACATGAAATCATGTTAAGCTAAACATCAGCAAGAAAGGTATGCCAAATCCACACTGTTAAAGAGGTGGTTAGTTGTAATGACCTTATGAAGTTAGAGGGATGGAAAAGAGCAAGGAACTATGAGGGACAAAGGCTATTTTGTTACCTCATCAGAAGATTCAGTCAGCTTGAGAAAGGGTGAGAAAAGAAACAGTGATGAAAGGGAAACAAGCAAGATGGTTTAAAAAGAGCTAGACGAGAGACTGCAGGGTCATCTCAGAGACGGCATGCACTACATTAAGGAACATGATCCTATCCAAAGAATATTTAAGATGAACGAAGTCACACCACATACAACACACCTAGCTGTCAAAAAGGACAGACGTCCCACTACTCGTGCATCTGATGGTTCAACAAGTAATGTATAGGCTCTTATTTAGTGAGAAAATGATTTAACAAAAACCTAGCTTTTTTCCTGAAGAATTAAGATGCTTTAAAAAGTGTCCATGTCTTAAAAAATAAATAATCCAGTGAATAGATGTCTAGGAGTTACTCAACATAGTAAGACTGAAGCAAAACCTGATCATTTTTGTGGAATTCCATTTAAATATCTACGTACCACAAGCATATATAACCATGATCAAGTTTGTTACAATTTATAATGATAGAAAAGTTCTAAATATATTAATGTACAAAAATTGTGAGTGAATAATTTTAAAAATATGTTAAAATCTTGATTAGTAAAATTGATAAAGTATGAGTCAATCATGAAAAGTTCAATGAATAAATTTAGTTTATATTAGCAAGGTACTTAAGAGCTGAGTTTCAAAATGTGCCCAATTAGATGCTTGCTATACAGATAGTCTACAAATTCCCTAAAAATATTCAGTACAAAGCCTGAAAGTTTCATTATAAATTACATAATGTGGGACAAAATTATAATTTCAGTGTCATTAGAAGGGAAGAGACATAGGAGAATGCTGGGAAAATGACACAGTCCCACACTTAGTGACTAAAAGGTATCTTAAGTGCAAAATAAGAATAACAAAGAATAACAAATGACATAATGTCCTAGTTTTAGAAAATGTTTGTATCAACTAGATGTTACGTGTTGACAGTGATCATCAGTGGGTGTAGGGTTATGTGATTTTTTTTTCCTTAATTTTTTGTGCAGTCAATTTTGACACAGAGGAGGGGAGGGAAGGGGTTATTTCAAATATGGGGGAAATAATTATGGTTAACTACAAAGCAAGTAACAATCTCACAGTAAAAGCATAGATCCTCTTAACACATCTTTAAAAAATTATCAAAAAGGAAAGTGTTTTTACAATTTAAGGAAAATTTTTACTAGTGGTTAACAAGGAAACATGCCTGTTAGCATCTGTATGGTAAGCTGGTGAAGATTAGTACAGAATATAAAAACTAACTCCATTCTTGTTTCATGTCAGAAAAAAAAACAAAACAAGTCGGCATCTACTGTTTTCTACAATTCTGATTTAAGGAAATAAAATATGTTTTTTAATTTGAGATTCTTAAACTTAGGGAGCTACTCTATAAATAACCTCAGTAGGTCAGTATATTTGACTGGTTTTGACCACACTAACCAGATGTACTCCAGAGCAACCTGACAGGAACTTAAAAATTGATACTCTCTATATAGAAAAACATATATAATTTACATAATATATATTATATATAATATATAAGTATATATTTTTTCATATTTGGTTCTGAAAATCACCTTTCAAAGCTGATCAAATTACCTTTCAAAGCTGACCTGGTGCTCTAGGTCCTAGTGCCATCACAATTCTGGGCTTATACATATCATACTTTTATCAGTATTTCTATATTAATGTGAGAAAGGCGAATCATCTGTGGGACACCAGTCCCTCTTAACCAGTAACCAAGATACAGTGGTACTTCGGTTCACAAAAGCTTTTGTTTGCAAACAATTTGGTTTGCAAACAGAAGAGTTTGGCAAAATTTTGTTTTTGCTTGCAAACTCTGCATCGGATGACAAACACGACCACAGCCATCTTTCCTCAGAAACATCGCCATCTTTTTTCCAAACTCACAGAACAACTTAAGGTTGTGAACCAAGATATCACAGTATTATATAATTTTAAAACTCCTACTATGACTAGTAGAAGTAATAATGAAAATAATTTTTCAAACTGGACTTTCTTTCTGTGCTGAAGCCTAAGTTTCCATAATCCTAAAAGTCCAGAATCTCTCTCTTTCTAGGAAAATCTCTATCTGGATCTCTTCACCACTGTAAGACTATAGTTAGATTTACAATTCAAGCCAAATTGTGCATTCAGTTAGAGACCACCCTCCTCCTGACAGCTCTGACTACTGCTAACCAAGTAACTGCCAGCTCCTGTAACTGGTTTTTCTGAAAGTCAGGTTGTAATTTAGCATTTCACTTTAATGTGGAGAAAAGCCAATGGATTTCAAAAACACAGAAGTCAAGAGTCATCGCTTCTTTGGTGCCTAGACTTCTCAGGAGCCGTGTAATCTCACGTTCTCCTGAGCGGAGGTCTAGAGACGTGATACAGTGAGTAAGGGGTCTCACGTACCCTTTGAGCACTCACAAACAACTTGTGAATGATCCTGCCAGCGTGTCCTCTTCCTGCCCCAGTGACTAACACTTCAGGCTGCTCCAACAGGCAACTCACAAACCTAGGAGACACAAGCAGTAAAAGGATGGGAAGCCGGCTCAGGCCACTGCGTTCACTGTCTCAGGTGAATTTCACTGACAAATCCTCAAATTGGTGCTCATTAAACCTACGAAACCTGGAGTAAAAATTTTATAGAGTAGACATGACGTTTAGAATTACAATCTGCTCAACGGACAATCTTACTGCTCTTTCAACTGTAGTCATAACATTTTAAAAAAGCATACCTCTGCCGTGTGTACAAAGATGCCAAAACAAAACCCACCAAGCTGTGTAACTAGTACACACTTAACAAGAAAGCCTACCGCTATCAAAGTGTAAGAAGAAATAGTCTATTTGTTTCATACTAGAAGCTTAGAACATATTATAGTAAATAATAAATCAAAAATGGTTTTTTGTGTAGACTAGTAACCAAGTTGTATTTATCCAGCAAAGCAATGATCCATATTTCTTGTTTTTGTTATTTTTCAGGGCGATTTTTATGCTTAAAATATATAGTTTGCTGGGCAAACTTGCCATTATAAGCTGAGCCATCATGGGCGGGAAACACAGTGGTTCCACGCACGTCACAGACAGCTCACGGTGGAACTAAATGAGTCGAAGCACAGAGCCACCACACTGCACCACCTGCTCACTAATTCATACTGCTATTTTAGGAGCGATTCCCTTGATTACAGCTTATTCTTCTCACTTAAAGGAAGGCGTTTTCAAGACCAAAGTAGGCTGGGAGAAATTTTCACTCAACTAAAGATACAAAATTCAAACAAGAACCTGTTAAAAGCGATAACAAAGGTCTTGTTATATGGTATTAATTAGCATCAATAATCCCTTTTCTCATGGAAAAGCTGATGCAATTTTAAAAATTGTGACAAATTCAAGACACTGAAGCTACTTTGGAAACTTTTTTTTCGTATCTTAAAACACTATCAAGTAACACAAGCAAAAAAGGACAGCTGCATACTGACAGGCCCCACTGGTTACGGGGTACCCGTGTGAAGCCCTGCGAATATGGGAAACCTCCTCTGCTCCAATCATTCACCTCATCTGGGAGAAGCCATGTGATCATTCTTTTAAAACACATTTGCAAGGTGCATAGGACGAGCACCTTTGCTATCCCAAGTATTGTTTAAGTAAAATAACTAGGTCAGCATGCACATACTGTACACAGATTCTGGTACTATGGTCAAGGAAAAGTGGGGGACTGAAACTCTCGGGGTGCTGTGAGGAATGGAGTTCCCGGCGCCTCCAGTCTGTGGCACCTCATCTCCAGGAGCAAAGGCACCCCTAAAAAGAGGCCCTGACAGACGGTTTCTGGAAGCGGGAGGAATGGACACACCTGGTGGCAACTCAGAGCAAAAGTCAAACCCTACAATAATTATTTCTCAGTCTTTAGCAATGTCCATTTCACATAGTATTTGAGCACACAGAAGAGCCTTAATGTCCTATTACAATGTTTCTGAAGAGGTCGGTGGTTTTTCCTACTGCAAGCAAACTGGAGGAAGCCAAATGGCAATTACCTTTCCAGATCTTCCTTTTCCTCTTCCTGCTCACATTTCTCAGTTCCAAATTTGGCCTTCAGGGACCGAGCTCTTGCGATTATGGCTTCCACACTAATAATCTGATGGATAATTTCCTAACAGGGGAAGAGACACACATTGAGAGGCATCAGAAAAACAAAGACTTTTAAAAACTTTGTATCTTTAAAATAATTATTGCCAAGTAGGGTGGATTCTTGGCAAGATTTGACACTAAATCAAACTTACTTCCAATTTCTTGTCTTCTAGATTGGGGAAGTGTAAAACTTTACTGGAATGGGATATGATCTGCTTTATAATCTTCTTAATGGAAGAAATGTTTTCCAGACTTTCTATTTTAAAGAGATCAAAAGTCATCATGAAATAAGTCAAAAACGCTTTCATTTTGGAAATGAACTAATGACTAACAAAATAAGATATTTACCTTCTTCCTTTACCTTGAGTATAGCTGCATGAATCACACAAGGTAGAAGGTGCCGAGCCAGGTCTGCAGGTTTCTGGACTGCCAGATAGTGCAGTACCTGAAGGGGGCACGTGTGACACGCGATTAGTTCGGGTATCAAGAGAAGCAGCAGTTTACCCAAGTACAGAACCCTTGATCACAACGCCCATCCTAACAGGAGAGCAGCGTTCTCTTACCAACCAGCCCGCTCTCCTAGGTGAGCAGCTGCCACTCCCAAAGTAAGACTGGTCACTGCAAGCACTTAAGAACTTCAATCTTTAAAAATGAATACTGTCAAAACTTTTTTGTTTCTACATGTAGTTTACATAAATTAGGAAAATATCAAGAAAAGAAAAACCATCTGCTAATTACATAGCCTATGGATAACTGTCAAGAGCACAGCATTTTCGCTCTAAGATTTTTGTCTTTTTTGCTGTACTGAGTATTGAATGCAGGGCCTTGCTGCACGTGATGCGCAAGTGCTCCATTACTGAGCTACCTCCCCAGCATCTCTGTGACTTTTATCTTGACATAGGGACTCAGTAAGGTGCTCAGGTGGCCTCCAACTTGCACTTCTCCTACCTTAGCCTCCCTACAGTTAGGACTACTCCATGTGCTACTTATTGATCTTGACTTTGACCATCCAGTGAAGATATTATCCCATTTTCCCAGTGTACAGTTACTCTTTATTTCCTTACAATACATAAGGGATCTGTATAAAAACATCTTTAAACCCTGCAATGATGATGCTCTGCACCCAAAGTTCTGTGCTTTGTACCTAGAGATGACTTGCGTGAACTAATCTTTAATATGAATACAGTTGTAAAAAGTTTCCAATGCCAACATAGCTTCCACCTTTTTAACCAGCTGTCTTTGCTCTGTAAGAATGCTCTCCCTTCTCCCCCATATCTTCATATAGCTACATTTTATCAGTCTGGTTCCAAGAATTCTTATTTTTCTTATTTTTTCCTATGTTTATAATTCATTACTGTCCTCAATGACTTGGTATTCAAACTGACCCAAATTAGCCCGTGAGAGTCCCCTTAAGGAAGTTCCTTATGAACTGCCTCTTTTTTTAAGCACTTCTTTATTTTCTATCAACATCTGATGTTCCAGGGTCATCGTATACCTTCCCTCCTCCAACCTTAAAAGCAGCCATTTTTCTGAGGGAAGCACAGTTACTATTAGTGAGGAGTATTTTACAAATCAAGATATATGTGCTCCTGCTAACGAGGTGTCACTACTTCTACACCCCTTCTAGCAGACAGCTTGTATATTTCCATATACATAACTACAGAGGCATACACATATACCTATCCATATTTTAGAAATCTTTCTAAATCCACACCAATATCTCTAAATCCAATCCACTGCCACTGGCTTCTTCCTTGCTTTCTTCAATTTTGCATTTGCATCTCACATCCACTGCATGGTTTTTGGCTTCCAACAGCACCAACATGTTAACTACATGATACATGGCTTCACACATATCATTATAAAAACAAGCCTAGAAAAGAGGGTTCAGGACTTGTTTGCACAACTAAGAGTATACAGCCAAACATAGCTCAGATGTCCATAAATCACCTGGGTTAGATTTTCTCTCGCATCCCCAAAGCCTTCCAGTGTACTGTCGTTCTACTGTTTATCTGAAATACAGCTAGGTTAATCTCTCTCTGTGTGTTTTTAGGTTTAGATTATTTCTTCTCTTCTCAACCTTGTGAATTTTTTAAATATGAAAACATTGATATTATTCTAGAAATCAAAAGTACACAGAAAAAACATCTTTTCTAAGATTCATTCTCTCCTATAGTTCTTCTCTCTTTTTTTCTTCCCTTTTCCAACCTTTCTGGTTAATTAAATGTTCTCTGGTTTAACCATATAGTTTCTTTTTGTAAAGATTAACAGGCACCTATTTCCTTAATTCTCTTTATTTTACCATACAAAAGGTAGCATTCTCTCTATATATTCTTTTGTACTTTCTTCTTAAAACATATCCTAGAAACCATCTATCAGTTAATAGAGATCTTTCTCTTTTTTAGAGTTAAGAGTCCTAATTAGAAAAACCTTTCCCTAAATCCAGGTTATAGAGGAATTCACCCTAGAAGGCTGAGACAAAAGGATCACAAATTTGAGGCCAGCCTTGGCAACTTGGAGGCCATCTCAAAAAATAAAAAGGATTGGCTGTAGCTCCATGTTAGAGCACTTATCTAGACGTGCAAGCCCCTGGGTTCAGTCCCTAGAACTATCAGAAAAAAGGGCAACCTCTGCTCTTAGTGACATATGACATTTTTATTATAAAATAGATTTAGATATGTATATTACACACTTTCTACCCTGTTTGGTTGGGCTGGTTTTGCACTGCATTATTTCAATGTAGTATGCTTTAATATTTAGTATGTCCTAATTCCCCTCAACAGTTCTTTTTCAGCCTATTTTCAGCTATTCTTCCAGACTTCCACTTAAACATACAAACCATGATGACTTGGGGTGTGCTCACTGAGTTACACAGCCCAAACTGCAATCAGCCTGAGAGTACTTTTATCACTCCAAAAAGAAACACAGGAGCTATCACTGCCCTTGTCCTCAGCCCTGCCGGTGCATACATGTTCCTTTTTCCAAATGAACATTCGTATGGGCTTGTGTGGCTCTGTAACACAGCCTCCTGGGGTTTTTACTGGGATTACACTAAACTTATAAATTAACTGAGGGGAGACCTGACCCTAACGATCCTGAGATTTCCTAACCAAGAACACAGGAGATTCATTTGTTCAAGTGTTCTTAAGGAGCGCTTTATTTTCTTCATTCAGATTTCAAGTACTTCTTGTAAATTTATACGTAGTATTTTATTACTCCCCCATAATGAAAAATCTTCCCCTATCTTCTAGTTGATTATATATGTATATGAATGCTAACTGCTCTATATTAACTTCATATCCAGTTACCTCGGTGAATTCGTTTGAATTACTGTGTACAGTGTTTTTCCTTCAAGTCCTAGGCCTGTTCTTTCTCTTGGCTCATCACACAGGCTAATAATGCCTCTAAAGTAACGTCTACTGGCAGTGCAGAGAGCAAGCATCCTTGCCTTGTTTCTGACCTTTGTGACTTATATATTTTATTTTCATCATTTTTAGGAAGTACTACCCCATACCTACTTTTTCAGGAGTTTCTGTTAAATTTTATCAAAGGCATATTATGGAGATAATGATATAAAGACCTAGCTTTAGTAGTGAAGTCAATTAATGTACATAAACAGATTTCCTTATGACCTCACATTTGGTCAACATGTATTATTTTCTTAAAGTTGTATTAGAGTCTATTCATTTATGATTTCTGCACTAGATTTCTTATGTAGTACTGATCTGTTATATTTTTATATGTTATCTTTATCAGGTTAGATACCAATGTTACAGTTGCTTAACAAGAATTTGGAAATTTTTCTTTACTGAAAAATACATGTAGCGTTGGGATTATAATTTAATTGAATTTCTCTTGGAAATGATCTAAGTGTGGTGGTATTTTATGTGTAAGTTGGTAACTGTTCTCTATCTCTTCTATGAAAATTGGTCCATTTACATTTTGTCTTTATTCGGGTTCGGGTTAGTATACCATATTTACTTTAAAAACCACCCAATTCAACGTGGCTTTCAAATATATAGCAAGATGGGCAAAATAGTTTTTTACAAAAAAAATTTCCTCTGTATGTGTTATTTGCCCCTTTTGTCATTTCTCACTTTTTATATACATGCATTTCTTTTTCCTTGATTAAAGCAGTAAATGGTTTGTCTATTTGTTTTTAATTTAATGTAAAAAGAACTATATTTGCTAAGGTAATGTTTTTCTGCCTCTTTTGTTTTTAGTTCCTTCCTTTTGTTTTCTTTCTGAATTTCCTTTTTTCTTCCTAGGTTTTTCTGGAGGGGTCTTTTTGACATAGGGTCTCATTATGCAGTTCAAGCTGGCCTTGAACTCACTTTGTAGCCCAGACTGGTCTCAAACTCACAACAATCCTCCTGCCTCAGCCTCCCAAGTGATGGAATTATAGGCATGTGCCACGGGCTCTTCCTAGGTTTTTGAGCTAGGAATGTAATTCATTTATTTTTATCGTTTGTTTATTTATCCATACAGTGGGGGATCAAAGCCAGGGCTTTGCACATATGAGACAAGTGTTCTACCACTAAGCTACATCCCAAGTCTCATTGTTCTACTTTTACTGATAGAGATTTAAGGCTATGAATTTTCTTTTGATCACTTTTTAAATATATATCCTATAGGTTCTGATATGCAGTATTTATCATTTTTTTCTAGAAATTCTGTAACTTTTTCTTTTTTTTTTTCACCTTTAACACAAACACTATTTAAGAGATGGCTCCTAAATTCCCAGATACAGTACTGGATTTTGTTGTTTCATTTAAATTTCTAGTTTTACTGCAGTGATCGGACTATTTATAATATCTCTATTATAAAACCTGCTGGTGCTTCCTTTGTGCTCTAATATCAATATTTGCAAGTACTCCACAGACACTTGAAAAGAAGGTGCATTTTCTATTGTTATCTAGGTGTACGTTAGAGATATATCTAAATGATTAACTGTACTGATTTTCTTGATTAGATCTTGTTTTTGCACACTTGACTGTCTTACATTAAGAATAACATGTTTAAAGGCCTCTCACTATTTTAATTTGATCTACTTCTTTCAACTCCTGTATCTTGTTTTATACAAATGGTTACTGTGTTATTTACAGTATAAACATGGACAACTGTTAGAGCCTCATTGTGAAAAAAACAACTTGTCTCATTTAATTTGGTTTTAGTTTTTGCTTGAATCTTCCTTGGGTGGGTACTGGGACCACGGCCCCTGGCTTTCCTACTGTTTTCATTTACCTGGCAAATCTTTGCCCATCAAGTAACTTGAGCCTTTCTAAATCACAGAATCTCACTTACGGCACACAGTTGGCTTTTTATATAACCATCTTGTAATTATCCCATATGTAATATATCTTTACGTTTGCTTTCTAAAATTTTTTTATTCTCATATTCACGAAGGCACATGTTTCTATTCTACTAGACATCCTTGTATTAAAATCATTTATAATGTGCTTAATTCCATTATATCTTTAACTGTTTTACAATCTGTTCTGACAATTTAAAAGTGTCCTCTAATCACCATTTTCTCTGTAAGAGTCAATGAATTATACTACTGTCCTCCATGCCCCTTTTCTCCTTTTTTGTACCATATTTTTTAGTTCTATTCTCTCTACTTTGTCTGAACATATAATATTTACCTATTATGTCCTACCTGTGCCCTTACCTGCACTGGCCCTAAAACAAATGAAATGCTCATCATCAATCCTTTGCCAGAGTTTTCCCGACCATCTTTTGGTTGGATAAGGTTCATCCTTCCGTACTACGGTATTCAGTAAGGCAGCCACATGTGGCCATTTAAGACTTCAGTTCCTCACCAGGCACGGTGGCACATGCCTGTAATTCCATCACTTGGGAGGTTGAGGCAGGAGGATCGCTGTGAGTTCGAGACCAGCCTGGGCTACAAAGTGAGCTCAAGGCCAGCTTGAACTGCACAGTGAGACTCTGTCTCAAAAAGACCAAGGGAAAAAAAAAAAAACAACTTCATTTCCTATACTATACTGGCCACATTTCAACTGTTCATTAAAGCCATGTGGGGCCAGTGGGAGCCATTTTGGATAGTACAGGTATAGAACATGTCTAACAATACATAAAGTTCTACTGAACAAGACAGCACTAGTGGAGGGCATATATGTACAGTACAAAAAGTACAGAAACTCAAAGGCAAGTTTTCATAGGTTCAATACTTAGACATCTTGGTTAGATACAAAATCCTTAGTTCACACATTTTCCTTAACCTATTTACGCTAAAAGTTGTAATTTTAAATTTTTTTCCATGAAATTCATATGTTACCTAGAAAAATTCAAGGAATAAGAATTTAAAGAGAAAAAATTTTATTATGTTCCACTGTTACGTGCAGTTCCAAAAACTGGAGGTCCCAAAGATGTTTTTGTTTTCTTTTTGAGACAGGGTTTCACTATGTAGTTCGGGCTGGTGTTGAATTCACTATGTAGCTCAGGCTGGCCTTGAACTCACAGTGATCCCCCTGTCTCAAACTCCTGAGTGCTGCGATTACAGACATGCGCCACCTTATCTGGCCAATTTTTTAAAAAAAGAGAATAATAAACAAAAACAATAAAAACGATATAGAATTTCAAAACAGATGAAAGGAAATTAACAATGGTCATTATATTGAATACTGTTATCTTCAAAGTAATTGCACAGATTACCAGATACAGGCATGCAAAATTAATCAAACAATATAAGCACTAACTGTTCCTTTCAATGAACTGACAGAAATTAGTAGTACCATTATCTTAGCTATCTTGTGTATATATATATATATATATATATATATATATTTTTTTTTTTTTTTTTTTTTTTTTTTTTTTTCTCCCATTCCTGGAAGACAACCAGCCTCTTTAATAAACGGTGTCAGCAAACATATTTTAGAAGTTTTTTTTTAAAAAGTCCAATGATATATTTTAAATGTATCATTTATAATGATACATTTCCAAGTTTATTGCTCCTGGTCAGTTTTCCCCTGTACCCTGTTGACATATACATTCAGAAGTTCTTATAGTGTGATTTTAAGTACTAATATGGTCTTAATATTGATTTTTTTTTTCAAGAACACATCATGTTAATGAAAGGTTGCCAATGAATTAATATTCTTGCTTAGCTTTCAGTTCATCGCTAACACTTCCTTGCCAACTTGCTTTACTTCTTTACCTCATTTTCATTCACTTGGCTGTTTTCCAGCTTTTCTTACTGCCTTTGATTAAATTTAAATATGAATCTATTCTCTCGAGTCCCTTTGTGCTCTGGTCTTCATTTTCATAGTTATCTTTTTCTTCTACTCCCAGCCTAAAATCAGTTGTTTCATTCTTTGTGCTTTGTTTGTTGTTGTTGAGTTGGGGTCCACTTCTGATTTTGTACTATTTCAGATTAAACCTGACTTTTCAAATTCTTCATATTCAGGATGGAGTGTGATATTACAATTTTTGTTTTGTTGCTATTCTTCCGAGAAGTATTTGCATGAGCTACAATGTATGACCTGATTTGCTTTGTTTTTAAAAGCAGTTTTGTAATTGCTCTCTTCTGTTCCTAGTAATTTTACAGACAATTTGAATGTGCCTTTTCTGCACAGTTTATTTAGTAGAGAGTGAGCAGTGAGCGAGGGAGGCTGATTGTCTCTTGTTTTCTTTGTTCTCATCACTAATTTATTTCTAAGGAGCATCATTCTTTCTCATTCTTTCTCTATACAGTCACTTATTACTTAAAGATAGGGACATGTTCCGAGAAATGTGTTAGGCCATTTCATCATGTACAAACACCATAGACTATACTTAGACAAACCTAAATGATATGTCAGTCAGTGGACATGGCCACTTGTTGCAATTAAAAGACCTGGATCCAGGTGCAGTGGCACAAGCCTGTAATCCCAGCTCTGGGAAGCGTCTTTTTTTTTTTTTTTTTTTTGGTACCGGGAATTGAACTCATGACCTCGGGCTTGCCAGGCAAGCGCTTAGGCCACTGAGCTACATCTCTGGGCATGCTCTGAGAAGCTGAAGCACGAGGATAACAAGTTCAAGTCCCACCTGGAGAACTCAGTGATACCCTGTCTCAAGATATAAAGGATTGGTAATGTAGCTCAGGGTAAAAGCCCTGGGTTCAACCCTCAGTATGGGGAAAGAAGACATGGGTTGTGGGGGTGCAGAGAGAGAGACTGAGGGGCAGACAGACGAGACAGACAGACAAATGGACCAACAGACCAACTAGGTAAACACAAGATGTGAGTAGTTGCCAATGTGACACGGCTTACTGTTTTACAGTAACCTTCCTATAATAAGTAGGAGTATACTCTAAAATGCTGATAGAAGTATAGTCAAGTAAATATACAAACCAGGAATAGCGCTGTCTATATCGTTATAAAGCATGTACCATCCGTAACTGTATACACTATACTTTTACACAACTGGCAGCATAGTAGGTTTTTACACCGGCATCACCACAAACACATACAATGAATTCTTACACAGCGATGTTCTGATGGCTAACTATCATTAGGAGACAGGAACTTTCTAGTCCTGTTGTATCTTATGGGATCCCACCCAGAGATGCGGTCTGTGGACGACTGAGGCAACATCATGTGGTGCACGGCTGTATCTGATTTTCTCCAAAGCTCCACTTCTAGTCCTGTTTATGTTCAAGTCCTCTCTACCTTCTGCCAGTGCTTTCAGCTCTTCTTGAGTTCAGTGTTTTGGCACTTGGTGTTAGGCTAGCTCTCTCTGGGATGACTTTATGCTTTGTCTGAGTCCTATAATTTCTTGGCTGTTTGTCTGAGATAAGGTCTTACTTTGCAGTGCAGGTTGGCCCTGAACTCCAGGTTGGCCTTGAACTCACTGTGATTCTCCTGCCTCAGCCTCCTCAGTGCTGGGATTGCAGGTGCACCACCACACTCAGCTCCTGGCTCTGTCTTAAGACTCACTCCCCTACTTACTACATCCACAGCCACGGGGAGCGGGAGCTCCCAGCCATTTGGCTTATTACGTAGTGTAACTTGAAGGTCACAGTAGTCTCTGTCTCCTAGTAATACTGAAAGCATAAACTTTATTACTTATTGATTTCAGTAAGTGGGAGGACGTGAGAGTATTTAGGGCAATCTGATATTAGCCAGATGCCACTATTCTCAAAACTCCAAATGTTTTTTAATAGCTGCAAAGCAGTCTGTACCTGCATACACAGTGATTTATTAAACCAAGCCCCTATTTTTGGAAAGTGATTGTTTTTCCTTTTTCTTTAAAGAACATTGTTGAGCATCATTCGTGTATACAGATCATGTACATTTCTCATTATTTCCTTAATGAAAGGACAGCTCTCCCCCCTTTCTTGGCAGTACAGGGCACTGAACCCAGGCTAGGCAAGCACCACACCCTGAACCACTTTCCCAGTCCTTTTATCTTTTGAGCTAGGATATTGCTAAATTGCCCAAGCTGGGCCTAAAGCTGCAAACCTTCTGCTTTACTCTGCCAAGTTGCTGAGATTGTATGTGTATATCAACATGCCTGGCTAGAAATGCCCATTTTTAACAATTCTGATAGACACCATGAGACAGAAAAATGGTTGGTATTCTATACAAGCTATCAATGCCTTTGGCATTTAGTTCTAAAACCTTAAATGTAAATACTAGACACATGAAAGGCTCACTGCATTTCAATGCTCTGTCAAGTGTGTCCAAAGCTCTCATGTCTACAAGAACGAGTTTGTAAGATTAAAAATAATAATCGTCATTCTAGTACTACAGACCCAAACCCCATTCACCTTTTCTGCTTCACGTGTATCATCGAAGAGCCTCCTTTGCCGTCTAGCAGGTATTGGCTTAGCTGTTTCCCAGGCTTCAACCCACATGTTGCTTGGAATCTTCATCCGGGCACTCAGTTCTCCTTTCAGAACTGTATTCCCCTTATCATCCGTCACCTCCTCTTCGATATAATCCCTGGGCGAGTACCACCTCACAAAATCTTCCAGAAAACAACCCGGGTTGGCTGCCTGAAACAGGGCAAGAAATCCAGCAAAATCAGATAAAAATCAACATTTACAGACAGGCCTGTTCGCAAAATCACGTTTACACAAAAAAACCCTAAGTTTCAGCGTCACTTTCAAAACAGATCAGATGCTAATGTGCCAAAAGCATTTTTTTTGCTGTCTCAGTTTTATAGAAAACAAAAATATTTTTATTTGATGAACTTGAAAAAACTTCATGTAATAAATTTCTTTAAAAGATGTTACATAATATTTAAAAATTACAGCATAACTACTCAAAACTTAGAGAAGTAGTAAATTAAATAATATATAACATGATCACAATAATAACAGAGAGATGGAAAAACTCTGCTCTTCTTTTATTCAATAAATCAATACCAGTACTGCAATAAATATCAGCGAGCCTTGAACCTGTTCTATTTAGCCATCAAACGCTGTGCTTTATATAATGAATTACCATCATATAAATTGCTTTTGTGCTATTAAGAAACTGGAATTCAAAATACTATTTTTCAAGGCTCTGGAACAAACCATATTAAAGTTTTATTCAGTAGATAATTCCACAGAATGAACAATGACACACATCCCCAACCTTTCAGTGATTCTACTTTCAAGCCTAAAAAAAATGAAGAGGCTTCACAGCATTAAGAGGAGAGGCACAGAGATATTTTTCCAAGGGTCCAGCAATGCACAGTACAGTACGCAAAGACGGGTATGAAAACCCAGCCAATGGGAATGTAACGGGCAAATGGCTAATGCTGTCCTCATTGGGCTCAGCCTGACTGTGCCTGCCACCTCGGGACCCCCGAAGCCCAACCCTTAGAGGAGGACCCTTCACCGACTGAGCAACACAAACTTCTAAGAGCTGTGTCATGGTCCACTGCGGCAAGTAACTGCTGTGAGCTGTAGGTGAATCAAGGTTACTTCCCGATAGTGACACAGCATTTATGCACAGTGATCTAGACCATAAGCAACACCATACCGATCTGAGTGAAGAGAGCAAACTTAATATGAAAATATTGCACTCCTGTTTTGGATGTTAAAAAACAAACATTTCACACCAGAATTCTTCCTCCTGGTTGTCCTTACTATATCGGACTGAACATAGAGCTACAGGAGACATTCAAGGCTGTTCCAGCTAGAGCTGTTTTTTGTTTGTTTGTTTACTGTTGCTGGTATATACTATAAGGGCATGCTCCGAAAAGACTGTGCCCTTCTGGATGTGTGGACGCCTCAGGCACACATCACCGTTCATTCAAAGCTCTAGGGACTCTCAAAAGGGCCCTGAAAACTAGGTTGTCCCTCTACAAAAAGGAATAGGCAGCCCATCTATTTTAGAATGATTATGTATTTCCTTAACTATATCATCTGATTACCATATAGGATCAGATGTGTATGCTGGCTATTTGAAATACAATCTGTTCTCTGATTTTAAAAAAAGTTATTACAGATTTATAGATACCCAGATTAGTTCAGAAGAGTTTAATGAACCAGTTTTGCTCATACACAATGTTAAAGGAACCATGAAGGACCAGTATGTTTCCGTGGGGGAAATACTCAAAAAGATTTGGAGCCAGGAGTGGTGGTGCATGCCTGCAATCCCAGCACTGGGGAGGATGAGGCAGGATTGCTGTGAGTTCGAGGCCAGCCTGGGCTACAAAGTGAGTTCAAGGCCAGCCTGAAGTGCATAGAGAAACCTTGTTTCCAAAAACAAAAAAAGAGATTTGGAATCTCCTCCTGTTCACAGCTTTGCAAAGATGTGGAAGCAGTGCAGGAGCAGGTGAGCAGGAAAGCAGCTAGAGGTCAGATGGAAACCATGGTTGTGGAGCCTGCTGTACACACAAGGCCTCGGGAATTCTCCTTCCTGCACCTTTCTGGTTTGACACCTGCCCTGAGAAGCAAATGGTTTCTCTGTATCCATGTTATCATGCATTGTTCTGGACTCATAGCAAAATAGAATCCACAGATGTTTTTATCCTCTTAATCTTTGAGAGATTTATTAAATACATTTTTTCCCTTTTAGTAAAGATGTAAAAAATAAGCAGAGAATAAAAGGCTCCCTTTCATTACCACTCAAATCTGCTATCTAGCAAGGGTGGATAAAAGTGGCAGGGTGGTCATGGATGTTTGTGTTTAAAAAGAATACCCAGGTAGTCAAAAGAGAAATCAAACTCAGACTGGCCTACAGAACACGGACAGAGGCTGAGCAGGGACTACGGGCTGGGGAGACAGAGCTCAGCACAGGTAAAGGAGAAGGGTCTGGGTCTTGCAGACAGTTCAGAATATGAGCATCAAGAAAGGAAGCCTTTGGCCCACACACTGGCTCAACCACTTGGGGTATTTTTTAAACACGTGGGTTGAGTATCCTTTTCCAAAATACTTGGAGCCAGAGTGTTTCAGATTTTTTTTAGATTTGGGAATATCTGGATATACATCAAAAAATAGGTTGGGAAGGAGAGCCAAGTCTAAACACTAAATCCAGTTATGTTTCATATATACCATAATACATAGAGCTTGAAGGTCATTTAATACATTATTTTAAATAATTTTGTACATGAAACACAATGGTTTCATGATGCAGGGTTTTCTGCTTGTGGCAGGTCAGTACTAAAGAGTTTTGAATTTTGGAATGTTTCAGATTTTTGGATTAAGGATGCTCAAACCATACGTGTATGTATTTTTGCTTTCAAGGGTAAATAATTTAAATACAAAAATCCTTTGTGGTATGAAGATTCCTAGGTTTTTAAGTGAATAAGCCAATATAACTATTACCTGAACTCTATTCTAAAGAAAGGCTCTATCTAAGCCTAAAATCTGCTTCTCCAGGTAGCAAATATCTACCCATACAAAACGATGACTCCTCTGAGGAAGCTTCCAGGAGCCACTCAGCAGTCAGTCACCTTTTTGACCTTGTCTTCTTAGAAGTCGTCATATAATATTTACATATCTTCCTCCACAACCGCGGAAGAATATGACAGGACGGACACTATGTCCTACGTATCTACTTAAAGTGTGAGGCACACAGTCAGCACTCAAAGGTTTGCTGAGTGAAGGCATCCACATTAAATCTCGTTTCCTAAAAGCCGTACACTAACTGAGCACACAGAAAGGAAGAAAGCCTCCCAATACACACACAGAATGATTCGATTCTCAACTATTAATAAGACTGGTTCTCTTCTTTCTTAAACTTAGGGAATAAGCTTCTCTGTGCCCTTTGGGGGATGGAGACAGGGTGTTGTAACTATTAATGAAGTCCAAACATTTAACAAAAAAAGACATTCAGGCCTTTAAGCCACTTCTATAGAGTGACTTTCACAGTTTTATCCCAGAATAGCTCAAAACAGGCCCCAGAACTCTGAAAGTGTGACCCACCTTAAAAGACTCCATATCAGAAAGCAGACAGGCGCTCTGCATGCGTGCTCGGAGGTGAGCCCCTTCTGCCGAGGTACCTAATTTAGCTAAGACCTCAGACTGCTCTTCCAACAGATCTTCTGTCATAGGTGCTGGTTCCTGTGAAGCACAAAAGCACAAAGCTCTTGAACAGCCCTTTTTTAGACAAAGCAGAACAGCAAAAATAGAATAAAGACAACAATTATTTCTGCTCCGGCAGTCACAAGACATGTATTTGAAAGAATTCAGAGAAATGTACAAAAACCTACATTAAAAAAAAAAAGAATAAATATGATTCTCAGGTCTCCTCTCCCTAACAGACAAGCCTATCATGTTTCCCTTGAAAAGAAATTAAGAGCCAAAAGAAAGAATCTGCATCCACTGTATGTTCTCCTGACCATCAGCGATGCAGAAGTGAAGTCTTAATATCATTACATAAAGCATCACTAGCAGCAACAAAGTTTTATTGTAAGTAATGGAAATGGTTCAATATAAGAAAAATGGGAGGGAACAACTCTCACAATGATCAGCTCAGATTATGGAATTATGAATTTTTTCTTTGCTTTACAATGAATATACACCACTTTTAACTACCCAACATGTACCAAGCAAAACTCCTGCACTGATACACAGGGTGAACAATAATCAGTAAGGCATTATGGTATGGTGGTTAGGAATTTTGGCGCCAGAGACAGTATGCCTGTATTTAAATCCCAGCTCCACGACCCTGGACAATCATTCATCATTCCTAAGGCATATGCTCAATAAATATTATCAATTAAAAATAAAATACTTAATTTTATTACAAACTTTATACTCTATTGTTTTGTTTGGAAATGTGCTTGTGCTATGTTGACCAGCCTGGTTTCAAAATGCTGGGCCCAAGAGATCCTTCTGCCTCAGCCTCCCAGGTCGGCACATACCACTGCACCTAGCTATTGTTTGTAAGATGAGAAAAACAAGGCCCAGAAAGGAATCACAGTTCCTACTAGCAAAACTATAAATAAATGGTGGTGTCAGTATATAGATTCAGTTCTGCTGGATCTCCAAATCTAGGTCTACACAAGAATTATAAAAGCACCATAACAAGATATAAAAATAAACTTATTTTTTAGCATTACAAAATTCTGTTCTATAAACCCTCACATATCCCTACTGGGCCCATCTGGACACACAGATCCAGGAGTCTACGCTTGCGTAAAACTAAGGGCAAACTAGGCTCCTAGATGTGGGGGACCAGGCAGTTAAAAGAAGAAGGCCTTATTCAGGGGCTGCAACATCTGCATCGCAATTAAAGGAGATCATTTAAAGCATAAACATTAGAAAAGAAGGACAGTTAATTATCGATTATTCAAGTTTCTGACATGAGTTGCTAGAGAAATAGAAAATTAATTATAAGAAAAGTGGAAGAAATAATGAAATCAATGAAACAATATTAATAGAGAAAAATAAAAAACGAAGTTTTTTTGGGGGAAAGATTAAAATTAAACCCTTTGAGAACAAAAGAGACACTATATACAAAATATCAGTTTTAAAAAGTGAAGTTGTATTATCTTTATAGACTCTACAGATACTAAAAAACAATTACACAGATACTACAAAAGAATATAAGAAGCACTCAAGAAGCTGAGGCAGGAGAATTGCTGAGAGTTTGAGGCCAGAGTGGGCTACACAGTAAGTCCAGGCCAGCCTGAACTACATAGTGAGACCCTGTCTCAAAAAATAAAAAGAAGAAGAAAAAGAAAGAAATACAAGCTTTACACCACACTGAAACACTGGTAAGATAAAAGAAACTTTGAAGATGGAAGACATTTCATGGCCTCAAGGTGAAGATGTCAATTTTCTATAACTGGATCTATAAACTGATACAATAAGAATCAAAATCCCTAAAGGGATTTTAATACATATTGTGCATGGAAAATGACAAGCTGATTCTCAAACTGATATAAAAATACAAAGGTTCTATAATAGCCAATATAACTGTGAATAAAGATAACTGATACTATCAGACAGCAACACTTACTATGAAGCTACAGTAACAGTGATACTGTTATTGGCACAAGGATAGACAGAAACTAATAACCTAAAAAGTTCAGAAATGGGCCAACACAGTCAGACCTTTTGGATAATAGTGACAGAATAATCTGACAAAGAACAAAAAAAAAAGAATAACCTTTTCATACCAAACATGTAACTAACTTGAGACAGACCACAAGCATAAATACAACAGTGGAAACAATAAAGCTTTCCAGAAGAAAACGTGAAAGAACATCTTCAGAACCTTAGGGTAGGTCAAGATTCAGGTGGAACACATAAAGCACTACCTGCATATGAAAAGCACTGGCAGATCAGACTTTATTAAAATTAAGAACAAGGTATCAAGAAAGTAAAAATATAACAAAACAGGAGAAAAAAAGATTTTCTTTTGGTATTTTTGAGACAGGGTTTCACTATACAGTTCAGGCTAGCCTTGAATTCACTTTGTAGCCCAGGGTGGTCCCAAACCTGCAGTGATCTCCTGTCTCAGCCTCCCAAAACCCAGGATTACAGGAGTGCATCACCACGCCCAGCCCTGGAGAAAATGTCTGTAATACAATTATCTAAGGGTTTATATTTGTAATGCATCTAAGAACCCAGAAAGTATAAAGAATTCCTAACAGAGCAAGAAGAAAAAAAGAACTCTTTTTCTAAAAACACAGACATAAGTCTTCAACAGGCACTTCATAAAAAAGGTATCTAAATAGGCAAGAAATAAATGAAAAGTACATTCACTAGCAATACTCATCATGGAAATGTAAGTAACAGAAAATCTCACACCCCCTAGAGAAGCAAAATTGAAATCCCTAAAATAGTAAGAGCGCAGAAAAGAGTTAATATAGCAGGCCTGAGACTGCTATCCTTACGAAGATTTGCCCTTAGCTGGCATGCAGGAACTTGGACTCAGGAAAAGTCCTCATCATTCCCAGGATTACTATGTTTAAATGATTTGTGTACACCATAAACAAGATGGTTTATGATGAAAACCTGCTTTCCTTCCAGGAGTCTGGAATTTTGGTATGAACTAGGCAAAGGATGTCTATTTGACCAGTTCCCAGTAAAAACCCTCGCCACTGTGCCTTCAAGAAGTTATGTAGATAACATTTCACATGTACGGTCACAATCCATTGCTAGAGGAATTAGGCACATCCTGTGTGACTAGTTACTTCCTCCAAACTTCATCCTGTGCACCTTTTCCCTTCTTGCTGTAGTAAATCATATCAAAGGACACGTCCCATGCTTAGTACCATGAGTCCTCCTAGCAAATCAATGAACCTGAGAGTGGTCTTGGGGATCCCTGATATATAAAGTGGGAGAGATTACTAAACCAAGTATTATATAATAACCACATTCCTACACACTGTTGATGGCAAGATGAATTACTTCAACTATTTAGTAAAGTTAAAACATATACAGTATGATCAGCAAACATCATGAATGTCTAAATTTTTCAAAGATGCATTATAATAGAAGACCCATTCCTATTAATCTCCCTGGGCCTGGGCATATAGCTCAGTGGCACAAGCGCCTGCCTGGCAAGTGCAAGGTCCTGAGTTTGATTCCTGGCACCCCCCCCCAAATTAAACCTACTTATCCCCCACACTCTCCCCCCATGTAGCCAATTATTCCTGCCGCTTTCTGAAGCAGTTCTGCAGTTCTTGTCTTTAGTTGTGCTGGCATGGTGGTACCAATGTGCTGGACTGATTTAAGATGGTTTACCTTTCATATTCACTTTGGCTTTGGGAAAGAGCCAAAAGTTGCAGGGCCAGATCTGAAGAATAAGGTAGATGAGTATACACCATAATGTTTTACAAACCTGCCTTCCCATTGGATGGGATGCAACAGCAGTCACTGTATTTTTGATCAGACCTTATAAAGACACAAAAGAGGACTTCCAAGATTGCTTCATGCAGTGGCAAGCATTCTGGGTAAGTGTGTTTAAGGCAAGGGGGAGTATTTTGAGAGGAATCAATGGCAATGGATCTTTTACTGTAATACACTTTTTCATTTAAACAAACACATTTTTTGATCAGTCCTACTACTTGAAAACATAAATCCTATGTAGGCAATTCACAAGAAAGTATTAAAATATTCAAACAAGTTTTTCTTTTCCTGAAGTTTGTATACATTTGTTTTGGAGGATTGTGTATGTATGTAAATGCATACAGACAAGTATAAGAAACATGCCCCAAACCAGTAATAGTGGTTACTTCATAGGATGAAAGTTGAATTGATAGTGGCTTTCACTTTTTCTGGATTGAATATTTCACAATAAAATGTATTCGTGTATTACTAACATAAAAGCAAATGAGTGAAACATATTATTCCTTAGATATTGAGTTGCTACTGTTTTATGTACTTAATAAAATGGTTTCAGACTATATCTTTGAGCAGATAAGAAATGTTTTAAAATTTTGAGGTAGTCTTGGTAAGTTACCAAGTTCCTCCTGCCTCAGCCTTCCAGAGGCTGAGATTACAGGCGTGTGCCACCACATATGGATTAAACAACAACTTTTTAGAGAATTTCCCCTACCCAAAAGAAATGATCTCTTACTAGGATGAAGTTCTAGGAACACGTTCCTGTTGGCTTGAACAGTGGTACAAATGGATCTTTTATAAAAAGATCCTGATGGGACAGTCCTGTCTCATATACTGCCAGTGGTTCATGCCGCCCAGCAGATGGACGTACAAATCACGGCCCCATCATTAATGTGTCAAACAATAACAAAAAGAAGTGAAAGGGGCTGGGGATTTAGCTCAGTGGCACAGCGCCTGCCTTGGCAAACGCAAGGTCGTGAGTTCGATTCCCGGTACCAGAAAAAAACAAAACAAAACAAAACAAAACAAAACAAGAAATGAAAGAACTGGTGCTTCTTACCTGGGTTACTGGAATGTAGAGAGGTTCTCCATTATGTAGTAGTGTAAGTTTCCCATGCTGATAGAGACGTCCTTCTGGTTTTAAATTTGCCATCTCCTTAGGTCCTCCTTTCTTGCCACTCTCCTGTCCATTTCCTTTAAGTTCTTCTGCATCACTTAAGCATTCAAAAAATTCTTCTTCACTATCGCTCCATGAATCCCAAGATTTTCCCATCTCCCCCTTCTCCGTATCTTTGAGATAGTCTGGCCCCAGCTGGTCTCCAACTTTTCCAGCATCCCCTGGATGTGCAACAGTTACAGTGTCTGAAGTACTTATCCTTTTCCCCTCATCACGTGCCTTCTTTCTTTCAATACAACAATTTAACATCTTAAGAAAACAAAAATCACATTACAGTTGAATTAGTGACAGAAAAATGAAAAATCTATCTACTACTTGCATATTTTTTTCATTCTCTACTTCTTTTCAGACCCCTACTGTGAAGCACAGTAAAGATAAGCAGCCCATGGCAGCACAGTGAGAGTCGCCCATACCCACTATTATATTTAGTACTAGAAAAAGCTCTGATTATATCAAACCACCTTCATATACTGCTACTGGGAAACTTACCTGCAGCTTCTGATGCAGTAAACAACATCTTAGATCTGGGGCTCCACTGGCTAATCTATCAAACAATGAGAAAAGAAAGCTGAGCTTTAGAAAAATTGCTTATCACAATTTTTGGCTATATTAATAAAAAATAAAACTGGATTTCTCTAGATAAGGAGACCAAGTTCTAGAAGAGCGGCACATATGATGATTAAAAGATCAAACTTATTTTATCCTAGTCCTATCACCAGAAACAAATACAAGAGACACTTCAAACATAATAGCAATCTGGTAGCAACTTTCTGGATAATGAAAAACTTAAAATAAGAGGAAGTCTTTAAATCAACCCCAGACGTAATTATCATACAATTTCATACCACACAAAGTAAATTAGTGTGTATAATCAGCTCTCAATTATTATGCTGCAGTCTCACTATGAAAATGAAGATTTTCACTCTCTATTGCCAGTAGGACCTTTGAATGCTTCTAGCTCTAAACCACTAGGTTCCTGACAGTCGGCCAGAGCTTCTCATTTATATTTAACGTGCATCTGGTTCTGCAGTAAGTTCCAGAGCAAAACAGTACGAAATAAGAGAACCCAGCTAGTCAGAGAATGGCAAATGACATTATTTTGGAACAACTGCCATTTATGTTATTCATACTATTATTCTTCTCCCTTAGCATTGATAGATGATCACTAACTTATGCAATACTGACACATGTGCTAACTAAAATCTTCTATTTATGTGAAATGTCAATGTAGAGATATAGCACAATTAGTTTATTCTTTTATGTTGACATTTAGGCTGTTGTACTTTTTAAAAATTATTATATCATTATTATAAATTTGCTATGGTGAATACCTCATATACAAGTTTCTTCCTACTTTTCTAAGGTAGATTTCCTTCAAGGGAAAATTTACTCCAAGTGTTTGCTAACAAAGAAAAGATCCTATCTAAACAAATGGAACATTTATTACCCTGGAATGAGAAAGTTGTTTTCCCATCTGAAGCGCATTTCAAGAACAAATTCCTGCCAGAGATGTGCCACTCCTTTTAGGCCTCCATGGTAGAAATTGATCATACAAAGACACAAAGCTAATTTGTATGTTAAACTGTCAGATGGTGCGGATTTGAACTGATTGTAGAGATTCTAAATTTAACAATACAGAAACAAAGCAAAACTTGTTAACATTTACACACATAATCAAAAACTGTAGAAGAGAAATTTTAACACTAAAATTAACCTCTATGCAAATTACCTTTTATCAAATACTATAACTACTAATATTTATAAATACTATCACAATACATTGTTCTTAGCAGATCTGTTCTCAAGATTTCTAGTTAAGATCAAAAAAGTAAAGCTACAGTTTAAACGAGGCTGAAGTTACAGCTTTCAGTTTCTTCTGTGGAATTTTAACACGTATTTCAAATTTCATGTGCTGTTAAAAAACTTTTTAATTATAAACTGAATATACAGTTGTCAAAATAAAATTGGCAACATGCAGACTGAAAATGTAAAAGTCTCTGCCTTCCTCCTTCACTGCAGGAAATCTACTTTCCAACAATAACTACTGTAAATGGTTTGATGTATCTTAAAGACTGTCACTTAAATGCTCTCATTTCTCAAAGATAAGGAGAACGTGAAATTTTCATTTTACACATTTTGCTTCAGTAAAGAATTTTCTAGGGTTGGGGAGATAGCTCAGTGGTCGCACACTTGCCTAGCCTGTGTGAAGGCCTGGGTTTAAGCAAAAAAAGTCTCCACTCATGCCTGGTTTTGAAATACTATATACGAAAGAAGCTGTTGCAAAACAAATTTAGTAATTGTACAAAAATTATAAAATGAAGAAAATCTTAAGTCTATGCATAGTGAATTTATGTTATTTATCACAGTTATCGCTACTCAAATTATGCTAGTGCTCTGCAGGTCATCGCTGAGTAAAGGCCAGAACATCCACTCAATTCTCTGGAAGTGACTTTTAAGATAAAAAGGCTACCACACTAGAAATACAGAAACCCCTAGAAATTCAAGGCATTTAAAATACTTTAATATTAAACTCCAACTTACATAATCTTCACTGTCTGATGGAGGATTACTATGGTCTGTTGAAGTAGTTCCTTCTACTGGTTTCTCAGAAGCAGCATCAGGAAATAAGAACTTTCCAAGGAAAAAAGCAAATACATGTTAGACCACATTTATTGATTTGTTGATTTTTATAGTTCATACAGACACTAAATTATCAATCAATTTACCATTAAAACAATGTTCTTACTGTACTGGCCAATGGATTCCACATTCTCTGAAACTTTATGTTTTACTTCAAAAATACAGAACTTATGTACTGGCCAATTTCAAGAATAAAGTTTTCATGAAAGTACCATCGAATTCTCTTTTTTTCTTTTTCTTTTTTTTTTTTTTTTTGGTTTTTTGAGACAGGGTCACACTATGCAGTTTAGGCTGGCCTTGAACTCACTATGTAGCTCAGGTTGGCCTTCAACTTGCAGCGATCCTCCTGCCTCAGCCTCCCAACTTCTGGGATTACAAGAGTATGCCACCAGGCCTGGCTAGTAACCATCTAATTCTGAGTAAACAGTGAAAAAATCTCTTCATTGTGTTTTCATGCTATTACATTTTTAAAAGAAGTGCTAATATTATAAGACAAAAGTGTAAAAGAGAATTTAAAAACACCTATATACAGTATTCATGAAAATCTGTATTATTTCATTAACATGTTTTCATATGTGTCAGGCATGTCCAACCCTTGATCTGTGGGCTACATGGGCAGATAATAATTCAGCTCCACAAGACCATCAACTTTTATCTGACACTATTATGCATTTTTTGTGTGGTATCTTGCATGACTCAATTGCTTCGTGCTCCAACTGCATAGGTGACAACAGAGCAGCGTGTAGGGCAGGGCACAGCGCAGTGCTGATGCCACCTTCTGTCCCTATCACAATCGAATTAAAATCCACCTGTACCAGAAGGTACATGCGGGGCTGGGGACTTAGCTCAGCGGCACAGCGCTTGCCTGGCAAGCACAAGGTTGTGAGTTTGATTCCTGGTACCGGGAAAAAAAAGAAGTTACATGCACTTGTGCAAGTTGGCAAGTAGAATGCAGCAATTACTAGTAATAGCATTTCAACCTACCTACATGCCTGTGAAGACAAGTATTTATTAAAATTAAGATATGTAAAGTTTTCTTAATTATTAAACTTAGGCTTTTTGTAAAAAATTTAGTAAGTCAGAATACAAAAAAATAAAGTTTTGTCACATACACACATTAACTATATTACATATTTTGAATGCAGCCCAAGATAATTTTTTTCTACTCAATCTAGCCCAGGCAAGCCAAAAGAATGGATACCCATGATATATGTAATTCTGAAAGTGTGACATTAAAGACCCATAACTTTATGACGCATGCTTGGAAAATAAGAAGCAGTGTAAGATGTGATGACTACTGCATCTTCTGCTCTCTCTCTCTGTGTGTGTGTGTGTGTGTGTGTGTGTGTGTGTGTAGGGAGAAGCAGTTAAAAATTTCAGTCTTTTTTTTTCCCCCCAGTACCGGGAATTGAACTCACGACTTCACGCTTGCCAGGCAGACGCTTTGCCACTAAGCTAAATTCCCAGCCCAAAAATTTCACTGTATATGACGATTAAACTTTGTAATTTGAATAAACCTCTAAGGATACACTCTAGGGGAGCCTTTTCTACAGAAATTTATTATTAATCCTTTTATCAGTGTTCATCCCAAACGTTTTAGTCGTGCAGACCACTCATTCCTCTTATTATGTATACTTTGGGACAAATTATGAAACATGTTCATGAGGGTTGGGGATACAGCTCAGCGGCACAGTGCCTGCCTGGCAAGCACAAGGTTGTGAACCAACTCCCGGTACCAAAAAAATCAAAAACTGAAAACCAAAAACAAAACATGTTCATGAGACTTTTTAACTGATATTTAATAGTTTTAAAAATTCAGAGAAACCACTAGAAGCCAGATATCAGTACTAGGTACATTTACAAAAATTAACCTATGCTTAATACCATGATCTAAGTTAAACATAACTGTGCACATTTTATAATGTACACGCTAAAAATTTGGCTGAATATTTTCTTCATCATACTACTCTTTTTTTTTTATTTTAAAGAGAGTAGTAAATGAGAAACAAACAAACAAATAGAACAGCAGCAGCATACCAGTACCATGAACATGAACAAATCAAAGCAAGAACATTCAAAGTGATACAGGGTCTCAAGACAAAGTAATACTAATCAGCAGTGTTTGTTACATGGCATACCGCTATCCTCAACTACAGTGCTCTATCACACTACTCTTGAAAGTTCTTCCCAAGACTGTCTTAATGCAGAAATTGTGGAAGTATAATTATAACTATCATAAGAACAGCTACCACTTATCAAAGGCCTATTAAATGCTAGGCAGTACCACGAGGGTCCTTTAATTTTCACAACAACCTCACAAGGTTTTGTTAGTGCTGCAAAATGATTTCTCAAAGTCATCCAATAAGTCAGGATTAAGCCCTGGTCTGTGTGGCTCCCAGGCCAGGCCCATTCCAACCGTACTGTAACTACTAGCCACCCTAGCCCGCTTCTCTGTTCCCCATCTATTCCTTAGTATACAGATTTCTCTACGTCGTTACCAAATAAAACTCAAAAATACAACTCTGATGTTGATTTTCTGCTTAAAATGATATTAAACTGCAAGATAAAGTGTGGTGCTTTAATGAGGAAGGTTACCTGCTACCTCTCTATCCTTATCCCTTGTCACTCCCAGCGAAGCAGCCTATAAAAAACCAACTGTTCACTATGTTCTCAGGTCTCTGCTATTCAAAATCCTTTACTTCAGTACTCAGCTCAAGCACCTCTTTATGAAGCAGTCTGTGATTCCCATTAGCCAGACCAAGACAGGTGTACCTTCTACTGTGTTCTCACTGCCTCCTGCCAGACTTCTCATAGGCCACATAGGGTTGTACCTCTCTTTCTCTCTTTCTTTTTCTTTCTTTTCTTTTTCTTTCTTTTCTTTTTCTTTCTTTCTTTCTTTCTTTCTTTCTTTTCTTCCTTTTCCCATTAACTTGTAAGCATTTTTTTAAAAGTGGATTTGTTTTATTCATTTTATATTCCCAATCTGGTGCCTACCACAAAGAAAGGACTGAATACATAAGGAACAAATGCTTATGCATATAGTCATATAGTTACCAAGAGAATAGCATTGAGGACATCATTATTCAGGGGTGACTCTTCTACACCTCTGTGCTTTCGTATTTTCTTCTTTGCAGTATGTACCATATTTGAAACTGATAATTTATGAATTGGAACTGGTGTTGGCTCTGTCAATTTTGACAAAGCATGAGTTATATCAGCAAGTTCTATAAAAAGAGGAGAAAAGAATACAGATTATATCAACAACCTTAGCAGATTAAAGTGCTGAATAAATTGATTACAGTATAGTTTAGCCATTTTTTCCACTAGTGTTACATGGTCTCAGAATTATAAAATTTTAATCTACATGTTCAGTTTCAGACACAAACATAAGTGACAAAGGTGGCAAATTATTTCTCCACAGGAGATTTCAAAAACTGAGGGTCTCAAATTTTTTTCAAAATATCTGACTTTTGGGCACAAAGAACTATTAGTGTACTAAATGTCTTAAGCTCTGGGAAGAGCCTGGAAAGAAATGGTGTCCGTCTAGTCCATAAAACTAGCTTCTCGGGGCCGGGGATTTAGCTCAGCGGCAAAAAGCGTTTGCCTGGCAAGCGCAAGGTCGTAAGTTCGGTTCCCGGTACCGGAGAAAAACAAAACAAAAAACAAACAAAAAAAACTAGCTTCTCTAACTTGTTCAAAATGAGCAAAATAGATGAAAAGTTGCTGGAAAATGTGCTAAAGAAAAAGGGTGAGACACCTGAAAATAATGTTAAAAGGAAAGTAGGTCACCTCTTCCTTCTTCCTCAAAGCTGGATCGTCCAAGAATCTCATCAGTTGACTCCTTTCGACGGCAAATTTTTAAAAATTCAGTGACAAAATCACCTACACAGAAAAAAATAATTACCCATTTTTGACACCTAACTGAAAGAAATCAGTCCTATAAATAAATGTATTTCATAAAGCTGTTAACTAAGACATAGCAGGAACAAATTCAGTTATTCCTCTGAAGAAGACAAAATTGATCCTATTTCAAAACGCTGCCTGTTTTTCCTTCCTGTTTCTCCAAGCCCTGGGCTATTAGAAGAGTTTCACCTTTGAATTCCTTCTCCAATGAAAGGGGGGAAATTATACTATAACATCAACCACTTCTAATACATTTGAATGAGATAAATGTTATCTATTAAAATTAAATTCTATAAGTATTACATTAAATATGTATGCAGTGGACTTCTTTATCACCCTACAATTCTGAATCCATTAAAAAATACAAATTAAAAAGAAACTCTAAAGATGTTTCTAAAGGATTAAGATAAATAAAATAGGCTGAAGTATTTCAGCTTCTGCTGCATATTAACGATAACCTTCATGTCCTTAATATAAGAAAGGAGAAATTGGTTTGATACTTCTACTAAAGAGTTCCAACAAGGTATGTAAGCACCAAGAAATTAAAGCTTAACAAGACCCTCCAGCACTAAAATACAATGCAAAATATACACTGAAGTCTTAGAATTTACCAACTAGTTCTATACAAACCTAAAATATTTTCTGGATTTTTTTCAGAAAGGTAGGAAAAATTTTAATCTATTCATATAAACTAATCAAAGATGTAGGTAAGGTTATACAACAATAACTTAAAATGAGAATACTTTCAACTGTAAAGTAGTCTGCAATTTACCACACAAGTCAGTAGATGTGGAAAAGGGTATCAGGAAACAATTTAGTAAGTAAATTTTATAATGTAATAATTCAATGATTACATAACAATTTACTGTGTACTGACTATATGATAGACATTCTGTTAAATGTAATACACAAATGCACACACAGGCATACAATTTCATTTGATTCTTCCAATAAGCCTATGAAATGTGTACTGTTGTTACCTATTTTCCTGATGAGAATGCTGAGGCCTGCCTGACAAGATCAAAAAACTTGCCCAAACTGGTGGTTTTAAGATATGAACCAGGGTCTCTCCTGTTGGAGACCACTACAAAGTGGCTCTGAGCAGGATTTAATATTAACCAATTGGCTTTCCATGTTTACTTGTGAGTTGTATGAAGCTTAGGCACCTTGTCTGAAGATAGGCAGTGGACTCAGTAAGTAAACCTCTGTGAGTCCCTGGTCACCGTTGGGGCCTGTATTGGCCTGTGAAGCTGTGACACCTCAAAGGACCAGATAAGGCCATAGCTGAGGACTTCTGGCTCCAACCCCAATTAACTACAAGGAGACTGCAGCTGCAGGCTCCACGCTCCTGCTGTGAAAGCCTTCCTGGAGATAACATAGTTCTCCTAAATTAACATCCTGTAGTACTTAGAAAAGTCCTGCCCAGATTCCTGCCTTTTCTTGAGTATCCTCCTCCTTTGTTTGTAAACCAAATAAAAATGGGCTGCCCAGAGAAGTCTTTAACTAAACTCAGAGACTATCAAAACTATAGGAGAGTTAGTCCCTCCTGGAGCCCTGAAATCATTTCCATTGTCTTTTATTTAAGCCTTCACCGTCCACTCATCCACTCACTTGGAAGACTGCGGGCCTGATTAGCCTGCAATAACTAAGCGTTATTTAACCCAATACTCTCCAACTCTGAAACCCTTCAGATTAACCCAGTAACTCCCTAAGGCCCCAAATTCACCAAAACACAGATGTTCCTTACAATTAGCATAAATGGCAAGTGCTAACTGGTATCTGATTAGTAGTATATGATTAATGATAGCCAGGCATGGTGGTGTACACCCATAATTCCAGCACTTGGGAGGCTGAGGCAGGACTGCCATGAGTTTGAGACCAGCCTGAACTACACAGCAAGACCATGTCTCAAAAAACAAACAAAAATACCCTAAATGATAAAAAGCTTTTAAAAAATGCTTTAGGGAAATATATGATCACCATCATTAATAAGTATTTAATAACCATCAGTTGAATGGCTGGAATATATCAGGCAATTGTGAGTGAAAGTGGCATGATGAACATGAGAAGAACTGGAGAAAGTATTTTTATGTGTAATAAGTATAAAGGGAAAATATGGAAAGGGACACTGAGGGGAATGGTTGAAAAGACTTCACTATCATAGAGATACACCCATGAAAAGGGGAAGGGAAACGCAATTCCAGACATGGACTCTGAAGAGCAATTATTGTACTATTTCTTAAATGTATGTTTAAAAATGTGTATTACTTCACTTAATCCTGAGGCAGGAGAGCGGGTGTGGCAAAACTGGGTGGAGAAGTAGGTGCACCCTGTTATTACAGAATTCTAGGACAGTTCCCAAAGCCTTGCACTTGTACTTCTAGAGAGAACCTGGAGAGCTTTTCCATAGCAGACCTTCTGACACCAGCCTCAGAGGGGAGAAATACAAAGGAACAGCCCACAGTGAGCTTTTTCCTACTGTGTTCTTTTGTGACAGCCCGCTCTCACCCTGTGGAGCATGCTATACTTACTTTCCTACTTTTACTTGGCCCAAACTCACTGCACAGACGTTTCTTTTTCTATCTTTAATACATGTCAAACTTTGCCACTGATGGTGCTTGTCTTGACCGATTCTTTTTTTCCCCCAATCAGATTTTATTGGTACATTTTATATACACATATTGATCACAGTCATCACTGGGAATTTGTACCTGTACATGTATATCTTGATTCTTTTTTTCTCATTCCCTTCTCCTCCCTTCAACTCCTCGCTCTCCATTTACAAAAGCTATGTTTCGATTTTTTCTTTTTTCATTTTTTTTGTTACTTTTTGCTTCTTTCCTGTTCCCCAAACCTTCCCTTATTCCCCTCCCTGTTTGAACATTTTCTTCCTATTTCACAATACCTAATATACATTTTAGTCTGTATTTACACTTTCGGTTTCTCACACCAGAAAAACAATGTGGTATTTACATGTGTGTTCGATTTATTTCACTTAAGAGTTTAGTATCAAGGTACATCCATTACCTAGGAATGTGTCAAATATATGTCACATTCTTCTTTACATCAGCGTAGTACTCCACTGTATTAAAAACCCACATCTTCTTTATCCATTCACCAGCTGATGCGCATTTGAGCTGTTTCCAGGACTTGGCTATATTGTAAACTATGCCACTATAAACATGGGTGTGCATGTACCACTGTGGTTTGATGCCTTTCATTCTTTCAGGAAGATACCTAGAAGGTGTAGCTGGGTCAAATGGGACCTCTAGTCCTTGTTTTTTGAGGCATCTCCACAATGATTTCTACCATTCTACACTCCCACCATCAGTGGACAAGGGTTTTTTTTTCCTCACAGACTCACCAACACTTGTTATTGATTGATATTTAATAACAGCCATTCTTTCTGGAGTAAGATGCAATCTCAGCATTGTTTTAATTGTATCTCTTGAACGACCAGTGACAGTGAATATTTCTCATGTATTTATTTGCCATTTGTACTTCTTCATCTGAGAAGTGTGTATTCATCTCAGATGCTTATTTTTGGATTAGGTCTTTAAATCCAGGGGTTCTGACTGACCAATTCTTTGTTCAGGACAGAAAGAACCTAGAAGTCACTTCCAAAAGGAGGCTCCAACACCCCAAAACCTTCAAATAACCCTATGAGATTATATTATGTGTATTTACACCTCTTTTCCCATGAAAGACGATAGGTGAGACAACTCTCCAGAAGAAATCTAATGAAGCCTGTCCAGATCAGTGCTTTTCCTATTACACGCCACTGGTCAGAGGGACTACAAAAGGCAAAGAGGAAGCCCTTAACTAGAAAATGCAGACACTACTACAGGAGGAAGGAAAGGGAATAAGAGAAAAGTGTAAGGAAAACAAAACTGAGATGAGGAAATCATGGAATTCTGAGGTGAAGATTCATTAAAACTAAAAGACAAGAAGGAAACCTTGCTAGTGCTATTGAAGAGGACTCACTGCTGTTGGCAAAGTTTCTTCTATATCACGTTAACTCAAGAGGATCATAAACATTAAAACATTGTTTTTTCTAGGTAGGTGAAAGGACGTGCAGGACACATGCACACCTGCATTTACAGCAGCACAATTTGTAATACTCAATCTTGGAAAGAGCCCAGACGCCCGTCGATGGATGGATAAGGACAATGTGGTGCATGGAGCACACCACCGTGGAGTGCAATGGCGTACGGCTCTGCCAAAATATGAAGACCAAAAGCAAAGGAGGATAACTTGAAACATTTTTAAGTACATAGATTCACCTTGAGGCCATATTTTTAAGTGAAATAAATCAGACACACATGCTTAAATATCACATTGTTTCTCTTGTTGAGAAACTCAAAGGGTAAGTAAGGACCAAAATGGATGATAGATATTGGGAAGTAGGAAGAAAATGTTCGAATGGGAAGGGGAACAAGAACAGGGGAGAAGAAAAAGAATAGAGTGGAAAAATGGAAACAAAGCTTTTGTAAATGGGGAGGGAAAGACGGGTTGAATGGAAGAGGGGAAATGAGGAAAAAGAAGAATCAAGATATATTATATACAGGTACAAATTCCCTATGATGAATGTGATCATTGTATCAAAAAAGTACCAGAAATTAATTTTTAGAAAAAGTACAGTATAAAGAATGATTTCAGGGTTCCTAATTTGGAAGATGGCTGGGTCAGTGACATTTCAGATAAGGAACATAATAACTTACCTAGTAAACACTGAGGATTATCTGCTTTCCTAACTCTAACAGACCAATGAGGAGCTTGAATAGGATCCAAATCACTAAAATGGAAAACAATAAATATAAAAATCCCAATTATCACAACCCAAGACTCATGAGCTTATCAAAATGCAATCTAATGAAAGGTTTCTATAGGAAAAATAACAATCCAGTTTGATTCTCTTTAAAACTTACTGCTACCTAGATACATAGCTATTTGGGAAAGATTTTTCCCCTAGTACTCAGGATTTTCATACTGAGCTACACCGCAGCCACTTTATCATTATAATCATTATCCTCATTGTCATCATCCTCATTGTTCCTCCCTCCCTTAGGGTCCCGCTAAGTTGTCCAGGGTGGGCTCAAACTTGCAATCTTCCTGCCTCAGCCTCCCAGAAAGCTATGAGTATAGGCATGTGCAGTATGCCTTGTCTGATTAAATTTTTTTTTTTGTTTTAAATCTTGGTAAATCAAACGCTTAGACAAAATATAAATACCAAAATCAAAGCACAATAACCACTGGGGGAAGTGGTGCAGACCTGCAGGAGGCTGGGGAAGGAGGACTGCCATTAGCTCATGGCTGGCCTGGGCTATGTGGTGAGACTCCATCCCCCCCAAAAAAGCCAAAATAAAAATCACAATAACCAAAAATAATATAAAAATGATTCTCAACAAGCAATGTACCCTAATAAGCTATGAGATATATTTTTAAAAGAACACAATAAAAAAGAATGAGATACAAGCAAGTGTCCACACAATCATTTCATTCAACCTATTTTTTAATAGCACTATTAATTAAAGACTATAAAAACTTGCCCAAGATCAAAAGTGCCCTGTTTTCTTAATTAAATAGATGACTGGATCCACTTAATGGGAAAATTCAATAAAAACTAAAAAAAAAAACACATTTTTTGTGATTGGCACAAAAGATATAAAATATATTAAATGACTAGAGCAAGTTAATTAGGAACTTAAACTTTAAAAATATACACACCAAGATGTTGGCTATTTTTCTAAGGAATGGGATAGGCAGTCCGCTTCTTTATGCCTAAATAATCTAATTAAGACCATTCAAGCTACTTTTGCCATCAAGAAATACAACAAATTTACTTTAATTATGAAAAGTGACCTATTTCTGTTTTGCATCCAGAATGGGAAAGTACTAAAATTGCCTTCCTCTTTTGCTACATTCGTCTCCGAGAATGCCTGCTGCAGTTTTCAAGTTGTTTCCACTGCACAGAAGTATAGGCCATGGATATTTATAATCTACAACATTTAATGATCAAATATTATTCCCACCCATTCTGATGATCATCATATCTTCAAAGTACTTCAGGAAATTCTTCACAATCTAAGACAAGTTCAAAGAATTATGAACTGAATTTTAAGCTTAGAGACATCTCTGCTAAAACACAGTAAAATTCAAATTGTTTATTATATACCTGTACTAAGAATCACACCTCCAAAACCAGCAACCTAAAACATATTTGTGGGGCTGGGGATATAGCTTAGTGGCACAAGCGCCTGCCTGGCAAGCACAAGGTCCTGAGTTTGATTCCCAGTACGTCAGCCCCCCCAAAAAATTAAAAAATAAATAAGTAAATAAACTAAACTAAATCTGTAATCTATACAGTATTAATAGGTCTAAAGAGTGAAAAATGGGGGCTGGGGATTTAGCTCAGCGGCAAAAGCGCCTGCCTGGCAAGC